TAAGGCACACTCACTCCATGAGATCATGTAATATATTGCTAAGTAGACCTTAGAGCTTATTTAGAACAGCTTTCTTTATGTTTCTAAGAAGTCAATAATAGTGAAATGTTAATAAAGGGGAAAACCTAATTTTATCAAAATTCCCCAAACAACTTGGTATTGCAGATTCTTATCAGTCCTAGCTCAGATAGTGACAAGGACAAGTTGAATCCTCTGTTTATAGACTTTATTCCTAAGCAGATCTTTTTTTTTTTTTTTTTTTTTAGTGAGTGGTCAACTTAGCTCAGTAATTATAGGGTGGAAGAGACCTTGAAAGAGAAGAGAGAACTCAGGCTCAGAAAATGGAGTCCAACAAGAGAAGCTAAAAGAGAAGAACATTCCAGAAAGAAAAAACAACTTGAACAAAGGCATTGATTTGAGAAAAGATATGTGCAGGGACATTTTGACAATGCTTTGGATGTGGCTTTGGATGCTTGAGAAGTTGACTATAAAACTTGAAAAGTAAATTACTAGGTCTAAATTATAGGAGTTTTTGAATGTCAATGAAAATTGTTTTTGTTTTTGGTTTTTTTTTTTCACTTATAAAACATTCAGAAATAGAGAAAATCTGATAAAAAAAAAAAACTCATGTAGTTATCACCCATCTTCTACAATGATCAACTCATGGCCAATCTTATTTCATCTCTGCCTCCACTCCCTACCCCTCTTCCATCCCTCAGATTATTTTAAAGAAAATCTTGGTCATAATATTAATTCATCTATAAACATTACAGTATGTATCTTCAAAAAAAGGTTTTGAACTATTCTGTAAATAATAGGAAGCCTTTGAATATTTTTAACTTAGGAAGCAACATATTCAGAACTGTGCTCTTGTAGGAAGGCTATTCTGGCAATTATGTGTGAGATGGGCCAGGAAAGTATGGGACAACATAAACACTTAACTCCCCATTGTCATTGTCATATATGCTACGTTAAAATTATTTTCTAATTTCCAAATTTGAAATATGTGTATGGTTTCCTATGCTGGTGTTTAGGGTAGAAATAATTTATATGTTCTTGGCCAACAGAGCTATTTCCCTGTGGAGGCATTGTCATCTCGATATTTGTTTCACACTTTGTAGTTCTTTTATTCATTGAGGGATATGGTAATAATATCAAGTGTGAATTTTTCTATTTCTACTTATATATTAAATATTCATTTTTTATTTTATTATATTGTTCATAAGGACATTCTGAGTATTACCTTGAAGTTTATGGGGAGAAATAGCTTTCCTAGCTGTAAAAAAGTTGCCTTTTGAGTTCTTCTTCTTTATAAGTAGCAAAATATATCACATAAATTATTCAAGAGATATGAAAATAAAATAAATACATTTCAAATGGCTGTCTAAGAGATCATTACTCTGTGCACTGAGTCCTCTTTTGCATAGACACTGGAAAACTATGAAAGATTGAAATATTTTCTGCATGAAAAGCTTTCAACATGATATACCATATAAAGCATTGAGAACAGAAACTAAAATGAACCTTGTCTGGACTTTGGGCTCATGTTGAATATTTAGAGTGGGAAAAATACTCATTTCAGGGTACATTTTTCTTTAATCTCGTCATCCCAATGTAGAACAACACCACTAGAGAACAGATAAGAGCGTCCGTCTGGCCAGTTGAATATGCTGTCCTTCACACTGCTGAAAGATTTATGGAGGTTTTTAGATTCTGAATCCATACAATACATTTTCTGCTTTTAATTTATGCTTTGAAGATTTATGCAAAATGGAAAGACCAAATAACTCACTTTCCAGTTAAAATGCTCACATTTCCATCTGGCATTTTGTTATGAATAACATGTCTGCATTACATAATAGTAAATTTTTCATACTGATGCTTGTCTGCCACCAGTTTATAATCAAAAACGTCATATAGTGTATTGAAAAGAAATCAGAATTACACGTGGTTGCTATAATTGCCTTTTATATTTCTTACTAGAAGCTTTTCCCTTCTGCTGATTACCTCCATAAATTATGAGGAATCATTGCAGAAAAACCCAAGTAGAGAGCCAGCAATTTCACAAAATTGTAAAAAAAAAAAAATTTGTGTGTAACCATCGCACAAAAGGTATACATAGATACCTTTTAACTCTTAACTCTTCCTAATCTTTTTGGATGCATTTTTCTTCTTTTCTTTCTTTCTTCAAGGAAATTTTCCCCATCACATTTATTTATTTATTTTTAAATATCAGCTTTATTGAGGTTTAATTGACAAAATTGCAATATATTTAAAGTGTACATTGTAGTGATTTGATTATGTATACATTGTGAAAGGATTCTCTTCATTTAGTTAATTAACACATTTTTGTATGCATTTTAAAATTAAAACACAAAGTTGATAGATGATGAATAGTCAAAAATTTTTATAACCAAATTTCTCCTAATCCTTGAAAATTTTGACAAACCAGCAGGCAGTGGTATGAGCATGTGGCGTTTGCTGTAATGGGTCAGGCCGATACATCATGTTGCCAAAAAGTCTGGCTTTGACTATGGCAGTCATGCCTGTTAAAAAAAAAAAGAAAAAATTGATTACCCTAGAGGATTTCAGCCTTAAAAAAATCAGAGATGTACCCAAACTTTTCCCAAACTTCTTCTAATTAACACACAGGAAAGACAGGAATACTGAGTTCTCAACACTGATCTATCACGAGTGGGTTGTGCTGTCTTAGGCACGTGGTTAATTTTTTCTGTTTTCAACTCTTCACTTTATTTTCAAATAAGAAAGGACTTTAGTTATAAAAACAGTTTTAAAAGAGCACATACCTAGAAGATAGTACTTGTTATTATTTTTATTTACATAAATCTGAGAAATCAAAATTGATAAGAACCATTCAGCCACAAAAATTTGTCAAATGCCCATGCAATAAAATGTTCTTGGTGCTGGGGACTTAGTAGTGAACCAGACTGAATTCTTGCTCCACTAGGAGAATCAGACATTGATGAATATAATTTTAAGTGCCACA